ATTTTTAAATGGTAAACAAATAATAAGACAAAAAGTTACATTGGAAATAAATTTTAGGGGTAGCGCTTTCCACCCCTTACAACCATGGGGTAAACCAAATAAATTACTGTCTAAGTGTCTTTTTGGTAGTACAAAACGTCAGGTTAATTTCAATATTGTAACTTTTTCAGTGCTTGTGAAAAAAATTGTTATACAAATTTTATGTATCCTCTTTAAGGGGCTGTATCTTAACAAGGGATGCTCCAATGAAGTTTCTTAATATGAAAGATCCTATTTTTTTTCGATGAGAAATCACCTCCTCAAATGTTTTACACTTATTCAGTTACACCCTGTATGAGGAGGGCCAGTATGAGAAAATCGGAAACCGCAAGAGATATAAACTCAACATAATTAGGAAAATTGTCCATTTTAAAGCTTATTAAAACTTAGGTTTAAAATTTGCACATATAAAAATTAAAGATGGTGATGGTCTCCATCTTGTTCAACTTGATAAGTTGCAATGAGAAGGTGATTTTTGTTTTCGAATAGAGATCTGAATAACGTTAGATACTTCCATTTCTTTTCACTATTTAAGATGATCTGGGATAGATGGTAATCTGTAGTCAACTAAACCATTTTCTGTATGAAAGTTCAGAATGCTATCCTGTCATATACATTTTTTTACCTCAAAAAAACTATTCTTATATACTGGGTTGTCCCCAAAACAATACTGTAGTATAGACTTTACTATTCCAATAATATTGTCATTCATTTGCCTTATGAAGAATAAATGACATACAAATATAATGACATTAAAATCAGTTTTACTAAATAGGATTGTACATTATGGAGAGTATCAACTTCAATATAAATGGACCACTTTTTTTCAGAATTCAGGATATACTGGATCCTTATTGGAAGTCAATCCTGTGGCCGCTCTGATGCAAGTGAGTAAACATATCCCCTTCACCAGGAGGATACAATTTAACATCTTTTTCCCTCAATGGAACGGGCTGTATCATTCATTCTTTATTGAATTCCATATTTTATCTACACGAATACTTGTGGGGGTGTTTCACTTTGTTTTACATACAGAAAAAATATACTCAAACGCCTTTTTCTTGAAATGGTTGAAATTAATAAGTCTTCTGATTGTATGAATAAGAGAACTGACATTGATAATCTCAGCAATATATACAGTAACTTACTAGAACTATACCAAAAAACATAATGATAATGAGAATTGTATCAATAAACTCTCTATTAAGAGTCAAAGATTATCAAATCATCATGCCCATTGAAAAATGACATTAATGTGAAGGTATGACATTTGTAAAACCAAAAAAATCTTATACATGTTCAGCTTTCTTTCGTCAATTTATATGTTTAATTCATTGTTTTTCACTCATTTTTACTGTAAGTATGATTTGTAATGTTCTTCAATGGCAAAAAAATCCACAACTCAATGAATTATAGGCCCTGAAGAAGCTTCCATACCTATACCTTTTTTCAGAATCAAGGTTATCCAACAGTTCAAGATCCTAGGATGTATCAACAAACAATCAGTCCAATGCCCGCTTCAATGCCAGTGAGTAAACAATATGTACCTTTCAATAGTCACGAATAATCTTTAAGAGATCATTGTCCGCAAGAGTCTCAATCTGCCCGGTCCTAAGCGTCGAAGCATTTGCACTTCTGTTGGCAACCAAGTGTTGCCCATTCTTGTACTTGGACGCATCATACTGATGACGCGCCAGAAGCCCGAAACACGTGTCTTTGGTTATCCCGTTTCCGAGTGCTATGTCCGATAAAATTATCTCTTAGATTTATATCAAGACAATCGATATTCTGCATGCATATATTCATAAAGAAGCAATTCCACTTGTATACATACACCCACCGACTGTGAATTAATGATCAGTTATGCTATATTAGATTATCAGTTATGAACTATATCAAGTTAATTATGAAGGGTACATTTTTTGCAGAATCAAGGTTATCCAACCGTTCAAGATCCTAGGATGTATCAACAAACAACCAATTCAATGCCTGCTTTAATATCAGTGAGTAAACAATATTCATTTTTTAATATTCACGAATGATTTAAGAGAGATTATCGTTAAAAAAAAGCATTTTCTGTGTGAGTATATAATATAGGGACCATTTTTGGAGTCTTTACACTGGAATTTCGTGTTGCTCAAGAGTTGAAAAAAAATTTGAAGAAATATGTCTTTTCTTGAGTAGTTTTAATTAGTGGTAAAAAATCAAAACTAGTTTTGTTGATTATGGAAATATACATCTGGTCCCATCTTCACAGATATATTGGACTTCTGTTTATGCTTTGCCATAGAAACTTGTGGACTATCATTAAACTTTTATATAGTTTGTCATCCGACTTGGATCTTCCTCAACTTTAATATTTCATATTCATAATCGGTATGACACTATTCTTTGATATTTCTAGACGTTTTATTGAAATTCATTCATTTTTAGTTGAGAACAAATTATTATCTAGATCTGAAGCAAAATCGAACAGTATAACACAATCCAATAATTGAAGATAAAAAAATTCGACGTAAAACTCTTATTTTTGAAGATACTGGGAAAGTGAAATTAGCTATCATTCTTGATGTTTTTCTTTTTTTTAATTTTCTCTCTGAGGAATATTGTATGAGCTTCAAATCAGGAAAGATAATTTTAGACCAAGGCTTATTTTTTGTTAGGTTAGGTTGGGTTAAAAGTGAGAGGGTCGAATACGTCCACCGCAACCCGCAAGGGTTTATTGTGGCTCACACCTATTCATACTTAGCCAAATAAACCCAGCTTCTTGACCAAGCCGAAAAGTTTATATGGTGAGTGATATTTCAGGTCAGATGGTGAAAACCTGATTCGGTCCGCAGCGGCACAGGCACAAAGTATATGCTCTGCTATTTCATCATTTTCCAAACAGAGGCGACACACACTGTCTTCCGACAGTCCGAGTCTCTGCATATGATTATTCAGACAGCAGTGACCTGTAAGGAGGCCCGTTAGACATCGTAGTTCATCCCTATTGTAGTCCAACAACTGTTTGGTTTCAAGCTTCAGAGGGTAAATAACGCCTTGTAGTGAACCAACCATGAAAGATTTTGCTAGAAGTCTTCAAATCTTCTTGTCATCCAGGTGTTCAATGTTTGTCTGGCAAAAACCTAAAGCAATGCAAAAGAGTCAGTAGCCTAATTGCCTTCCAGGCCAGAGACAATTTGTTAAGTCTTCCTATTGAGGAGAGTCGTTTTTGCAATTTGTCACCAACTTAGACGTCGCTCGGTTGGAGCCAAGAGCTTCCAACGCCGCTTGAATGTCCGAAAAAAAGGTTTATTGACTTGTGTGCGAGGTTGGATTCTACCAATCTCTCCGCACAAAATTCAATAGCATAGATTTCCGCTTGAAATACAGTCGCATGGGTCCCTAGGCAGGTTGATATCTCTGTCCTGGGCCTACAGCCTGAAGAGCCTGAATGTGTTTTTGATCCATCTGTGAACTAACAGTTATCTGCCCCTTATATTTCCTTCTCTCGGAGGATGCAATCCTCTGTATTCTGTACAGGCAGTTCGCAGTTGATAGTTGGGGGCATAATGTCAGAGGTCAGCAAGCAGTCTAGTGCACTCTGCATTATATTGCTTTGTGTGATTGGTGATGTTCACAAGTCTATATGCAGTCCATCTAGCCTCTTTCTTCAGAAAAATGTGGAGAGGAGGTAGTTCTAGAAGGATCTCCGTGGCCGCTGACGATGTGGTACTGATGGCACCACAGATAGCCAGACAAGCCTGTCTCTGTTAGCCAGAGAGCTTCGCCTGAGCCGTTTTCTGTAAAGCCTTCGGCCACCAGGCAATTGCTCCATAAGTGATCATTGATCTGACAATCATCACATATATCCAATGGATTTGTTTGGGACCTAAACTCCAAGTTTTATGACAAATCCATCGACATATCCATAGGAACAGTTTGGATTTGTGTAAAACTTTTTCGAAATGAGCGTACCAGGTGAGTTTTTCATCAAGGACCATGCCAAGATATTTCACCGCCGTTCCAATTGGAATTATTCCATCATTGAGGGAAAGTGGCGTTAAATCGTCCAATTTTCTCCTCCTGGTGAAGGCGATTATCACAGTTTTGCTGGGGTTGACAGACATCTGCTCCCTCTGGTACCAACTGTGAACCACGTCCATCGTACTTTGGAGGATATTACATGCTACATTTCCCGACGTGGACGTTGCCAAAATGTCAAGGTAATCTGCATAAGCTTGCAGATCTACTTCTCTTCGTACGAGGGCATCAAACAAACTATCCATCAGGAGCGACCACAGAAGATGAGATAATACCCCGCCTTGAGGGCAGCTCCTGGTGACCCTGAACCTAATGGTCTCGTCTTTTTTGTAACACTGGTTCTTATTCTTTCACATGGTTATTCTTTCACATGGTTATTCTTTCATATGGTTATTCTTTCACATGGAGTATACTCCCAATGGTCTGAGAGTGTAATCTATTTACTGTTTCAACTCCTTCAAGTTATTTTTTTCCGACAGTAAGTAAAGACGATGACATCTCCCTATACGAGGACGAAATCTATGGGATCGACAGAAGATTCAACTGTCCTCAAAAGGCATTGATGCTAGGCTCAACCACAAATGCGTTCCTGCACTCAACTGTCCTCAAAGGACAGAAGACTCAATCCTGGAATATAAAAGATAAACGAGGCTAGCCAAAGCGGTCAATTAGAAAGAATGGCCCCGGCATCACGTGGACGAGGTTCTCCTACGTCTGTTACAGCAGTTTTGTCTGCAAGGCAACTAATTGAAACAAGAGCCCACGTATTCGACCCACTCTGTCTGCTGTTGCATTACAAATGCGTTGTTTTTGGGCTCTACTTTCAATTAAAGTCTGACAATATATATTCATTGAAAACTGCAAGAAACAAATTGGGGGTGGAAGGAGGAAGTTATTCTCAATGTATTTGCGAATAAAGAAGTAAAGTGGGTAAAATGGGGAATAACAATAGTGAATATTACAGTTTTGGTTTGGACTGCCAATAACTAAAGATGTGTTGAAGTGCTTTCGTAAAAAAAATGTATGAAATATTACAAATATTAGCACTGAAATATTCGAATGAGTTGGTTAAAACTAAAAAGAGATATATCGACCATCGACATTGGGAGAACGACTTTAGTCCAGTTCAAATGACTGCCTCTTATCGATTACTAGATCTCTAATTAGAATAGTTCTATATTAAATGTATCAATTTGTTTTCAGAATCCCATGCAGATGAATACTATTATCCCACCTCCAGCCTCTCCTGTGCCTGCTTACACACCAGTCAGTACCCATTATTTTTGTTTTAATATAAGTTTATTTTGAAGATGATATGATGGAGTGTCATTTGTGCTTTAATAAGTGCTCAAATGGTGTATCTATCTGATCGTTGAAGACATCTTCAATTTAAATAGCCCTATATGAATGTATCAATTTGTTTTCAGAATCCCATGCAGATGAATACTTTGATTTCCTCTCCAGCACAACATATTATGTCTGCTCTAACACAAGTGAGTTACAATTACTTATATTTTGATCTATATGAGTATTTTTCAATATAATATGATAAATTGTGCCATTTGTGCTTCAATAACTTCAAATAGTGTATCTATTTTGAGAAAACATGAGAATGTCTCTTACCGTTGAAGAGATCTTCAATTTAAATAGCTCCATACAAATGTATCAATTTGTTTTCAGAATCCCGTGCAGATGAATACTTTGATTCCCTCTCCAGCACATCATGTGCCTGCTTTAACACCAGTGAGTTACCATTACTTATATTTTGATCTATATAAGTATTTTTCAGTATAATATGATGAAATGCGCTATTTGTGCTTTAATAAGCTCAAATAATTCATATATATTGAGAACACTGTGAGACTACTTCATATACAAGTTTGTTATGTGCCAGCTTCCCACCTAGATTTGTACGTGGACTACTTTTTCTAGTGTTGAAAGTGTATTGATAAGTTTCCTCAGCATCATTTTTGTCTATAAAGAGATTATAATTTGTCAAATATTGACTGGTCTTATGATGAGCTAGGTTTGTCTGCTCTTAACAATAACAATATTGCTGACCAAACAATGTTAGACTGCTTCTCGTTTTATAATCTTTGATCATATCAACAATCGCTACTTTCCTCTGTTCGTCTTTCTGAGGCAAGATTTCTCCGATGGTTTGATAATAATTTAAAGAAACCACCTAACGAAAAGAAAAAAGCATAGAAAAGTAACAAAAGTATCACCATTTACAATAAAAAGTGATATAACAAAAATCATGTGTGAACAGATTATATTTACAAAATGATATTGAAGATAAAGTCAATAAAAAAAAAACGAAAATGGAAATTGAATTTTCATAGGAGTAGTAGAAACGCAAAGTGAATATTTGAACGAGGCAATGAATAGCAAAAGAGGTCGATAATGTATTAGTGAAATTAGTATGCAATGTAAGTTACGAAAATAAAAAAAAATTGAAAATAACAGACTTTCCTTAGATTATGTACTGTGATAATTTGACTTTTGATATTGATAATAATATTCGAAATGCATTTGCACAACAATTTCAATTAGTGTACAAATCTGATACAGTTGATGAAATACCAAGCTTCGTAACCAAAAAAACTGGTAATGAATTGTCGTACAATTAATTTAGAAATTATTTTCAATGAACTGTTTCAGTTAGATCTGAAAGGTCCAAAACCAAAAGCTATGAATTGCTATTGAAAATTTGTAGATTTACTTTGGTAAGACCACTATTTTTACGGCTTTCATCTTCACATAGTCTAGGTGAAGTTCCTTTTGAATGGAAATCAAGTTACATAACGCATATCTGTGAAAATTCAGAAAGTAGAAATTTACAGCTCTCTAGTAATGTCCTAATTGCAATTGAAGATAGATATAAAATTTTGAACATTATCAAATATGCATCATCGTTTGAGGCATTGATTATTCAATTCAAGAAATTATCAAAATCGTATGCTCGACTTGGTTCTTTCTGCGGATAATAATTCAGTATTTGTGAAGTAAATACAGATGGTTTACCGTTCGTTAAGGAAGACACTTCCGTGCCAATGTATTAATTCCTAAAAGTGCGCAATATCTTGTTGTATAACTATTAAAAAGCTAACTTTGATGGTTTGATTAAAATTAGTGGTAAAATCGATTGGGGTAGAGTATTAGCAGAAAGTGATGTAAAAGTAGCTTTAGATGTGTTCTATATACAGTACTTGGAATGATATTATAGCAAAATGCGTTCCAAAGTATTTAGCAAACAAAAGAAATGAAACATATTTAATTTTGTTTTCGAAAGAAATCAAGGATTTGTTGCGTGAAAACAAGAGCTATAGAAAACTTAAATCTATTTCAGATTATTATAACAATAGGTTGAAATTTTTTATTGGACATGAAGATGAATTGTACTTCAAAAATATATTCGACAACTAATATTGATTTTGACAAGGCATTGAAAAGTTTAAAACCTAAAACTCAGTGAATACATCAACAAATACCTTATACCTCAACAACATGCATTTATGAGACAAAAGTCTATCAATACAAATTTATTTGAATTCAGTAATAAAGCCTTCGAACTTTTGGGAAAAAAAAAATTAGTTAGACTTTGCTTTAACTGATTTTCGTAAAGCTTTTGATCAGGTCCATCATGATGTTCTGAAGGCAAAGCTTAGTAAATATGTACTTTCAAAAAACTTTTGGAACTAACGAAAAATTATCTTCAAGATCGGTTTTACATCGTCAAACACGATGGAAAAATCTCAGATAAAGTTCCAGCTAGGTCAGGTGTACCACAAGGATCGAATCTAGGTCCACTTCATCAGTGATTTACCGTCAACTCTGAAATATTCAGATTGAATTGATTCGAAACTTTTCAAATCAGTCCAAGACCGTGTACATATATGCAAAAGGATATAAATAACATCTTAGATTAGAGTTGGAAGAACAAATTTTACTTCAATCTCAATAAATGTTCAGTCATCTCAATAACTCGCATAATGGAACCAATTATGTTGAGTTATGAGATGGATGGTAAGGTTCTTCAAAGAAAAACTGAAACCAAAGATCTTGGGTTGAGATATAATGCACAATTTTCATTTCTTAATCATATACGAGATATGAAATCTGGTAGTCAGATGTTGTGTTTTGTAACCAGGCATTCATTCTCTAATATAGATATTATTAAATTACTTAATTTTTCGTTGGTGAGACCGAACTTGGAGTTTGCTTCCATTATTTGGTTTGCGGAGTACCTACCAAACCTATATGAAAAAACTAGAGAAAATTCAGAAGAAATTCTTGAGGTATTTATTTTTTAAGCAATATCACAAGTGGCCAAACTATAACTCGACAAGGTCTTTGGATCTACGACATGAATTTAAAATATTACCTATCATCAGAACAGCGACGCCAATTATCTTCAATGATATTCATGCACAAACTCTTGATAAATGTTGATTCCTCAGAATTCTCAGTATGTTACCATTTCACGCACCTCGTCGTACCCGATTTTCGCTCATGTTCAACATTTCAACCATAATTACCGCAATGAAGGCACACTGATATCTTTACTCAAGTTGGTTAATCATTTGAATATATTAATAGATCTTAACTGGACACTTTAACAATCAGATTTCCGCAAAAAAAATTAGAGCATATATTAGATTTACCTATTCAAGCAGTATTTCCCTCTACAGTTCTGGCAAATATTTCACTATTTTTAGACATTCATAAGTGTTTTGAGGAGGGAAGACTTGAATACCATATTACAAATATTTCACTGCTTACGAGGACCTATTTTAACTATTGCATCTGGATATATTTCTATTTCTACTTATTTTTCTTTCAGTTGCACCAATCTTTTTTTTAACTAATTATACTGTTTTGCATATATTTTCATCAACACCTTTGTACATTTCCTGTAATTGGGTGAATGCCTGTTGGAAATAAACAAAGGTTCCAAACAGTACATCACAAGTAAAAAAGTGATGTTAAATAAATCTTCTGATCATTGAATAACCGAATGACTTATTCCAGCAAATACCGAGACAAATCGATATTGAAAATTCGTACTTAGTCAGTGGCATACCATATTCTCAAAGGAATGATGAAGTTTTCCCAAGATATCTGAACACTGTAAGTAAAGATGATAGATTTCAGATTATTTTTATTTAACAGTATAATAGATGTTTATAGGGCACTATCCTCGGGCTGTTTTTCCCTCCAAATAGTCTCAAATGGATTATGATTTCCGGCAGCCAAAAAAGTTTAATATTCCAAGCACTTTTCTCAAACACCAGAAGTACTTGTTTTGGATTTATACCATAATTGATTCGCAGTTTTTAAAGTAGACATCCCAATTCTTTTTGCAACATTACTGGATGAATGCAATCTGGTCTCCATGACTGATAAGGTTGAAATAAGTTGACAGTCCATTTAATCCTCTTCAAATATACATTTCTCTTTGTCACCAGCCAATACTCCCTGGATGGATTCTTGAGGACCAACAGTTTTGAATTTGCCCAAAACTCCGATGCTGGAGTACACTACTTATAGTTTTTTGGGAAAGAAAGTTTTTGGCTTTCTACTACTCCATCTGATACAAAAAAAAGGGGATGAGAGAATCTTCCAAAGAAAGGAAGGAAGATAGTAGAAAGCCAAAAACTTTCTTTCCCAAAAAATTAATCACATCTAAAAATATAACCCCTTCAATTCAAACTACTTATAGTCTATTCCACAGCTGTATTATGCTCCCCGGTATTCGTTTTGATAGTACTAATAATAATTATAATAACTTGTGAACTGGACAAGATATCAAGGTAGAATATAATTTACGTACTATTTTCATTACTTCTTGACAAGAAAGATGTTGCATCACTCGTCGGCGAGTTGGCATTACCTCCCATCAAACCCTTTCATTTGATACGTTTGATCTCATGACTATGGAAAGGCAAATCTTCATTTTGTGGCGTCCGCCATTTTAGCATTTAAACAAGAGTTTTACTGCACTAACATACTAACAGGTCAACTTTAATAAAAGCTTGTGATAATTTCAAGCTTTTCCGTTAATTAATGAACTATTCTTTTTTCAGAATGAAACTTGTCAATTCATAAACCTCTCTCCAGCAACTCTGCCATACAATGTAGTTGTTCTCCAGGTTAACGGACAACACTATTAGTATAATCATCTCTTATTGCATATATTTTAAATAATTTTCAAAGTTAAATATTGTATTCTTAGAGTTATACTACATTTTGATAGTTAACTAGGCTTATATCTGTTTGTATTAGTAATTTGCACTTGTACTTGTAAATTTTGAAAAATGTTGTACTCAAAATGTTGCAATAATTTTCAAATATTTAGATTAAGTTTCGAGTTGATATTTATATTTATCCAATAGTTTGTAGATTTTAATTATTAGTATTTTATTGACAGTTCTCAATACATACACCATTGTGTTGTATTTTGTATGTCCACTTTGTTACTGTTTCAATTGATTTCATTGAACATAGCTTATACTTTTATAGGATTCAATAATTTTAATAGCAATCTTGAATTGAACATTTTTGATAACGTTTATGTAATTGTTTGACTGTATTAAATAAAATTAAATTTCAATTAGTTTATTATTTCTGATCTAATTATACAATTCAAGGTAGATAGATGATAGAATTCTAGTATTCCAAAATTTATTTTGAGGCCATTTGGAAGTTTATATATCTTGTCATTATGAGAGATATTTATTTGGGATGTTATGTGTACATTGTCTCTATGCTTAGAATATTTAGTAATACATATTGCACCACAAACACATATGACCTGTGATCTGATAAAAATATGTAGAATTTTATTTCCATAATAATAATAATGATAGAAATTGAACTGATATTTCTTGATTACTGGTTATTTCAATGAATCACTATCATTCAATCCAAAATGAAAATCAACATTTCAAGAATCTGGAAAAATTAATAATTCATGTTGTCACGTATTAATCTTTTGTGAAAGTTATATTATTAATATATTGTTTCTTTTTTTATTTGATCCCTTTATTAATATTCAATGATGTGGTTAATGTTTCAACATACCCAAACTTTCATTGAGTAAATGCTAGTCTCACTACCAAAAAGGCAAGAATTTTTCGCATATGTCGGATATTATGGTCTGTAGCCCAGCTGGTTCAGCATTGGCTTGGTGATAGTTGAAGGTGCTGTAGAGTTTATTTTTCAGATAATGTAAAACTGTTATTTGCATAGCCAGGTTGTTCATAATGTATATAAATCGAATCAGTAGTTGTGATGTGAGTTTTTTATATACATATATGACATGCTCAAGGTTCCTTCTTTCCTCATGCAGACCTACGACTTTGTAGGTACGTGTGGCAGATACCCAACGGAAAAAATGGCAACTAACCCAGCTAATGCCGCCCAGAGAGTTGAAGTAAAACCATCAGGCACCTGTGCAATGTCTTCGACCTGGAAGATTCGTGGCAACTTATTTTCCACTATGAAAAGCAGAAATTAATTTCGTTTGGTCGATCCGACCAACGGATAGACCGGTTTCGCGGTGATTGCCCCATCTTCAGTACCGGGCATGGTCTCTTCAGAACGATATGTATGAAAACATAACTTTTGGAAAGCACAATATTTTATCAATATATAGTTAGAAGTGGTATGTCTATGAAATATACAACCACATTTCCTTTGGAATCTTTGGTCTGAAATGAAACTATGGGAAACAATAGACATTTACACTTTCCAAAAAAATATAAAATCGATATTGAGTACGTGTTTTTTATTGCTGATCACATCCTATTTTAATTTTCTTATTTGTACCAATCAAGGGCCTGAAATAATTGGTTTTTATAGCGCTCTCTATTATCACATTTCTAAGCACGACAAATGCTTATATAACTTAAAGGAACTCACCTGTCATCTAATCGCCAACTAGACCTGCTGATGTCACTCCACGCACTCATGCTTCTACTTCTTTTCGGAATAAAGAGTGATCTGCTAGTCCTTCTATCCATCATTTCGGGAGGAAAATTTACCCTAGCCCTCGCCGGGTGCATCTGAGGGGAGGAGTCCATATCTGGAAGTTTTTCATAAGACCATGCAGTTACTTTGCAACTTCTTGATCTAGAACTCTTGTGGGTCGTCAGGCTGTCATCTGTCTGCGGAGAAGCCGTTTCACTCTCCCCTTCTGAAATTGGATATGCGGAATCCAAAACCGGGGTTGAACCGACGGTCATTGGGGAGCTAATAGTGGACGTATTCAATGAAACCATGTCTTTTTTAGATGGCACACTTTTTATTTTTTTCAGTTTTTTTTTCAAGACCTGTATGTAGTTACTATTTCACACACCACATGATTTAACAAGATAGATACCTAGAGGTAAACAAGGAAAAAGATTGTTTGAAGGTAGTTGACAATGTTTCATGGTGAATTTCATCAGTTAGGACTTCCGTCTAATATGATATGATTTGAAATCTCTAGTCATCACCCGAAGATGATTGTGTATACTACGGAACGAACAATAAAAATATGACATTTCTTTGCTTCCGTATTATAAGCACCATATTTTCTGTGATATCAGTTTCTCGGAGGTCTACGGAAGTTCAAACCAGCTTTTAAAATCAAGACTTGTTATTATACTTTTTGAAGAAACATCATTATCATGGTAAATGCCTGCTGGAAAAGAACTAATTCCCCGGCTAGTATCACGGTAGATATTGAATTATATCCGACAGACATTTATGCAAGATGCCTCACAGAGATTAGTATGCACCATATGGGAAACTTATTTATTAAGAGCTTTTCGACAAAAAGTTATTCTTGATAAAAGTTTGTGCATCCCCTGAACTTAACGTGCACCAAGAAAATACAATAAAACACGTAATATACGAGGAGCCTTCAGGAATAAACTACTCTTATTTTGAAAAAAAATCTCGGAAAATGTTATTTTAAAAAGTTGTTCAGCATTGAAAAATACATCCAGATTTGAAGTCATGACCATCTAAGTGGAGTTTTATTTTTTACCCATTTTTTTAAATGGGCACTAGGAAAAAAATTGGCTGTAACGATAAATAGCCAGCATCCTGTATACGACGGTTTATTTCAAAAGCCTGTAATATTACGAATTACACAACTAGAACAAATACGCACAGTTGGGAGTCCCCAAAGTTACTCCTTATCTAATATAGACTATATAGAAAAGTGTAATTCAATTTATTTTTGCTTGACTAGAGAGGTTACAAGAAAAGTGAGTACGTACGTACCATATTCATTTATGACAATACAAACTACAATCAACACCAATACGACTAAGAATTTTTCATAATGAAGTAAAAAACTGTATAACACGTTTCTGGGGTAGTTTGAAAATTGAATGCTTCCGCCATCTATCAAGCGAAAGCACAACATATGTGTTGTACAATGTCAAGATGCAGTTTTCTAATCTGAACTTGTGAATAAAAAGAGTGGAGTCTAGAGGGCATATGAGTATATAAATAAAATCGACAAATTTTCAATCCAGGCATTTTTTACGAATATCATTCGCGCCAAAAATGCCTATGTCTTATTCTTGTATATGTATACACACAGGATCTGTAGAAATCTGTTTTTTCGTTAACTAGCTGTTGTCGCCTCAAGAATGTCAACACTCAAAAGTCGAAACTTGTGCGAACTGGGAATTAACGAGGTCTGTGTATCAAAATATTTAGCATGATACAAATATGCTTAAAAAAAGTTGCTATAAAGCCCAAAAATACAAGACCAACAAATATACAAGAAAAGACGATTGTCAAAAGATACTACGAGTAAACCTAAGTCCAATGTTACATGCTGAGAAACCCGATGAAACTGAGTAGGCTTATTGAAAAAACAAACTGGCTTCCTGCGATTCAAAAAATATTCACTAATTTAATATTTTAAATTTCTATTAGTGCTCCGACTCATGATCGAAAGGTCGTGAGTTCGGATACCAATCTGGATCAGATATTTTTCTCGGGGGAATGAATCTGGTTGAAGTTGATATGAATCTGTATGTATGTACGAGTATGTATACGCTGTGATTTTGAATATGTAGCAGAATCTCGGTTCGTTGCGAGATGATACGAAAGCATTTTTAGTTTTGTCCGTTTCGATCGTTCGAACCAGCAAAAATACACGATATATAAATATGTATACTCGTCGCAACTTGTCGCCGTGAAAAACATTCTTCGATGAACAGAGATGTTGACCCCAATCTACCGCTTAGAATGAGGCTGGACATAGCAGATCACCTCCAACAGCAAGGGCACTTCCTACGGCGGGCGCCAGGAGCTCCGCCTTGAATAAAGGCAAGGAACCGGCTGCCCCTGCAGGAAAGCTCCCTCACTTGTTCACCTCCACGCCGGGAACCCCAAGAAGGTTGAGGAAGCCGCGCAACGACAATATCGCTGCACCTTCCAAAACCTTTGCGGAGGCCACCGTGAGATACCTCAAGGTTGCCAAAGAGAGTGTGTTTTCAGCGAGTCTTGGCCTACACCTGCCAATATAAAAGAGATGTCTCCTAGTTACCTGTTCATCTTTCTGGGAAGGACTTGATGGACGATGACCTAGGAGGACAACTCCTCGGGAGGATGTACAATGGGTCACATGAGTCTGCACTCACCCTCCCTATTCTACAGATACAGATACAGAACATTCTTCGGTGTGACGCCCAAAAACCGACAAATGGTGTAACATAACCTATTCGCGATTACGTTACAGGTCGTTTGTTACAGTTGTAAACGCGCCTTATAACAAATACAAAATCATTTTATTAACCCATCATATTTATGAATTTTTCTCTATTTACTAATTTGAATCTTCTGTAAGTGTTATATTTTCATCGAAATGCTATTGTAAATTCCATCTATGTTGTATACCTAAACGCAAGGCCGTAACCAGGAGGGGATCAAGGGGGATGGGTCCCCCCCGAAAGTTCGACAAGCAACAGCCATCCAAAAATCATACCAAATACAACGATTGGCTTGTTTAAACATCACAGGAGCCATGAGAACAACACCAACCGCGACAATGGAATTAATCACTAGTCTGTCCCCTCTGGACCTGTACGTTAAGAAGGTCGCGTTAATGACCATGTTACGATTGCGCACGGCTGTTGTGAACCTCGAAGTAGGAATGGGTCAATTGAGGCTGAGCCTATGGCGAGAAGCACTCACTGCGCAACCTCTGCTGCAGGCAACCAGTGATGCAAGTGAACTCAGGTTTGTGTTTAATAAACCCTACAAAATACAAATAAAACAGAACACGAAGTCAGATACTACAAATGCAATACGCATATATACGGACGGCTCAAAAACCAAAGAAGGCTCAGGATGTGAAGTGTACTCCGGATCACTAAGCCTAAGGATTAAGTGGGGCTGGTACCGGCTGGTACCCTAATTGCCACAAAAACAAGCCCTATTAGCCTTGAACAGACAACGTGTTACCACAGGGCTAGTAATAGAATGCCACCAAGATTCAGCCAAAGCCTCGGTAGATAATAACATTATCCTGAGATGGATTAAAGGGCACGACAGAAGTAAAAGTAATCGCATTGCC